ACCTCTCTACAGTGTCCTTTCAAGTAGTTGTAGAGAGTGATGAGGTCTCCCCTCAGCCTCCTTTTCCTCATACTAAACAGGCCCAGCTCCTTCATCCACTCTTCATATGATTTGTCTTCCAGGCCCTTCACTAGTTTCGTTGCCCTATCTTGTCTTAAAAGAAGTTGAGGGGCTTCACCCAAGCACAGCACGCACTACCCTCATGCTAAGAGATGCCACTTGGGGTGACAACAGTCACCAAAGCAGTGCTTTAAACTTCTTCTACGGAATAAAAACGTGTTTGGTTGCATATATACATACACACAGACACCCCCCCTGTTGTGTAAGGAGGCGGCAAACAAGTCTACCATACGTGAGTTAAGGAGCACAAGCGATTCAGTCAACACCACTCCACTGCAGCAAAAGCAAAGGAGTTTAAAATTGCTTTCAAAAGGGTGTGGAAAAAAACAGACAAACAAATTAGATGGATTAGATGGAAAAAAATTAAGCGGTTCATGAGATTAATAGATCAGGAAGGGAAGAAAAAGAATCTGTGCAAAACCAGATTTGGCTTCCAGACCACAGTTCGACACGTAAGAAAGCTAAAGCATTTTGATCCTAACAGGGCAAAAGTATGGCTAATATTTTTAATATTTTTTTTTTACGTTGTTTTTCCTGCTCTAATGATTTGCATCCTTTAACATAAGCTCTGCTTTCCAAAATTGCAAGACAGGCAATCAATCTGCTTCAATCTGCTACATATATACCACATATATACATACTACATTTATATTCTTTCTATATTCCAGTTACCCACCTCCAAAGAACTTAATCATTAGACAAGAGCCTAGACCTCTAAAAAAACCATGATGAGCAGAGCAGACTCAATCAATTCTTTTCTTTCATCATCCACCTTTCCCCTTGTTCTGCGAGTTACAACAAAATAAGGAGGAAAGTAGATACAAAACATTTTCGCTCACTTAAAAAAAAAACCAAACAAAACAACAACAACAACAATCCACAACAAAAACCAAACCCCCTAAAAACCTGCCGGCCAAACAGGACAACGCTTTCATTGATTCTAAGCATATAGAACTATAAGAAACCACTTTGCTGGCATAATCTATTTGGAGACATAACAATATTGGGAACTGAACTCCCTTTTTGGACCCAGAGACCTTTCATGCTGGAACACTCATGCAGTATCAGGAAAAAGAAGAGAGGAAAGATTGACAGAAGAACAAACCTTGAAAATAAGTATTTTTATCAAATACAAGGGACTATAATTTCATTTTTTTGTTTTGCCCCCAAATACCACATTTCTGGCACGACTATCAAAATTTCTCCAGTTCTCGGATAGATATAAAACTTTTTAAAGATTTTTAAAGATAAAATAAACATCTCTCATGCTTATCAACAGTTGGGCACAGTTGTGCTGCAAACGCTGTTAATCACACAGCAAAGGACGTGGAGAAGAGCTTCATTTTGCAAAATAGTTACTACTTGCAGAAGCACTGCTGAAAAAGCCCAAAAAACCCTCCTTTCTTAAATATGTTACTGTAGAGGTGCCACCAGCGTTGCTGATGCAGTTTGGGCCATTGGAGCTGGTTGGAACTGGTTGTGTCTGACATAGGGAAGGTCCTTGTCTCTTGTCAGAGGCCACCCCTGCTGCCAGGACCTTCCCATCTACTCCCAGAAGACCAGAAGGGACATCACAGGAATTTTTGTTTCTGGGTTCCGCCTCTTCTTTCCAAATTGCTTCCACATGTCCCTTCCCCATAGTGGAAAATAATTTTTCTGGCCATCTCTACATGCTTCTCCCACCAAGAAATACTAGTATCTTAGACCTCTGTAGTCCTATTTACCTCTCCTAAATGGTTATAACCAAAAGTGTCATTTTGTATTCGGTGAGATCCTGTGCTGACATTCTTAAACTTGCCTTAAATCCACATAGCCTGGACAGCGAAAATTTACAGACAAAAAATAAAAATTAAAACAAACCAAACAAACCAACCTCCTCTAATAATTAATTTTTATCAGATTAAAACATTTGTGGTTGTCCAAACAACTCACATCTGTTGACTGCACTGATTTAAATTCAACTGGTGCAATTACCATATGTTATCATGCCCCAAATATCACTGGAGGAACCACCGTTGTATCGTAAAAAGGGGGTAAGGTTTAAAAATCTGCCTCTAACGTAGAGGCTGGCCTCGCTGATGCGATTATAAATGCCATCAAGAAGCTGAAAGCTGAGATTTGGGAAAATGTTGCAGTGCAGACACTGGATTAGGGAGGTAGCAGTGAAAAGATTTGCATAAAGACTTGATAGCTTCATTAAGTCTGATTTACACTGTCAGTATGCAACAAGACAGTGACAGTTAATAATTAATCTTTCATCTCTTCTCTCATATTTATATGAAAGATGTCATTTATTCTGCTTTTTAATTGTCAGAAAAGAACACTGCCTGCCTCTTTTTTTTTTTTTAATAGACTAAGTACCTTGACATCACCAGTTGTTGCAAAACCAATGCTTTGATTCTGCTGCCAAATTCTCATTATCTAACGCAATTCCCTACAATTCCCCTACATCCTCATTTCTCCAAGACTAAGATAATAACCTTTATTTCAACATAAAGCAATGCTATCATGGAGACGCTGTTCCTGCACACCCCTTGGCCTGTTGTGGCCCTGCTGTGGTACTAGAGTGGGTCTGCTCCTTCCTAAGGGCCTTCCACCGAGTTATGAGTCAACCCTTCAGCCACGTCCAGCCTCCTGTATGACTAACTCTGGAATCCAAATCTACATCCACCATAAAGTCCAAACCAAAAGCAACTGGGCCATTCAGGACAGATTCCAGCTTGACCCAACCAAGATCACCTTGTTCCATGGCAGCATGGAGTGGTGTGTATTGAGTCTCGCTTGCCAGAGACTTCAGGGATTTAGGGGATGGTTGGTCACCATCCCACCCTGCTGCAGGAGCTGCCAGCCTGCCGTCCTTTCCCAAACTGGGATCAATGAATCATAGAATGGTTTGGGTTGGAAGGGACCTTAAAGATCATCCAGTCCCAACCCCCTGCCCTGGGCAGGGACACCTCCCACCAGACCAGGTTGCTCCAAGCCCCATCCAGCCTGGCCTTGAACCCCTCCAGGGATGGGGCAGCCACAGCTTCTCTGGGCAACCTCCTCCAGTGTCTCACCACCCTCACAATAAAGAATTTCTTCCAAAATAAAAGCAATGAAGGGGATTTCTTCCTAAATCATGGATGCCTTACTGCAAGCATTTCCCCTCTTCAAATACATGAATACCATGATTGCTAAGATGCATCTATTAAAACCGTGTTAAAACATCTACATGAAATATCCTAGAAGTAATTACCACTACTATACATATTCCTACTTCAATTATGTTTGAAAATCTCAAAGTTTATCTGTTCATAAGGCACTATGAATGAGGAAAAAGATGTAAAATAGCACAAGTCATTTCTACTTATTCTGCTTCACCTGTGATAATGCCTAGTATTTGTATAAAGGACTACTGTTTTCTTTTTATATTAGTTCATGACGTTAGCAAAATACATTTTTTTTAAAAAACAGAATATTGAAAGATTGTTACAGGATTTGCCTCAGAGGAAATAAAATTTGTCTGTAATTCGAAATCATGAAGGGGGGGGATGACGATGACAATATGCTGCATTCCTGTTATTTAAAAAATCCAGTAAGCATTGCAAAACCGTAAAGCATGGCCACCAAATATAAACTCTACTTGTATTCTGAGGCCATACATGGTAAACAACTGTATCTTATCTTTTACCAAAGACAGTTCTAATCTGAAGTTTACTGAAAACAAGCGATAAATGATGAAGGGAGAAGAAAGCTTTCCATTCTAAACATTCATTTCAGCAGGCAGCTGATGAGGCACAAGACCAGAACTGGGATCTGATGAGCAGGACACACAAACACAGATTGTCTGTTTCCTCATCTGAATTATGATGGAGAAAAGCAGCTCATCCTGACCAAAGTCTAGGACAGTGTCCAGTGCCTCCATTTTTTTTTTAACCTGTTCCACATAACAGTGTTCTAGCGCATTTCAAAAGGAATAAAAACACATAATACTTGCCTCTAAAACTAAGATAAGAATTTCTCTAGCCTATTGTGTGCTTCTTTGACTACTGTAGCCCGATGTAATATGCGTATACTATATGGTGATGCTGATAAAACTTTTGATGGCAGGATTTTGGAATAGGCATATTGCTTGTGAGAATTGAAGCCCAAAAAAAAGGCAGAATGGTACATCCTAAGCATCAGTGCAGAGTTAAACCTCAGCACCTTTAAGCTGAGCCAGCTATTATCTGTCAGATTGCATATATACTAGTCGATTCACAGCTGATTATTGACTGGCCAGGATTCCCAAGATTAATATGGTAAACAGGACACTTCAAGTTTGGGGAAAAAAAGGGGGAAAAACACACTCTGATGAGAGCTATCTAACCTTCCGAGTCTCTGAAGCACTTCAAGAACTCCATGGAACCAGATCTGTGAACAACATAAATTCCTCATTCTTAACAAATAAGCAAAGATTAGAAGATTCAGTGTATCCCTTAAGGATGCCAAATATTTGGAATGAAAAACAGTTGAAATATACTCTTGTTTAAGGAATATTTTCCCAAAGCTAACAGAAGGACATAGAGCAGGAAAACAGTACTCACCAGAACGTCCCTTTGTCCCTGCTTTCTGTATCTATGAACCCAGATTCCAAAAACATGTCCTTGTAAATTCGACCAACCAGGCAGTACATATCTGAAGCTACTTGGTCTTCCTGTTCTACCAGGGGAATCATAATTTCTAGAGCTTTCTGTCTGTCTCCAGGCAGATTTCGCCTGTTAAAAAAATAAAAAAAATTTATTAAAAAACCCAATAAAGTTAACGAGAAATAACTTTTCATGACCATGTTCAAATATATATATGTACGACTTCATACATGTAAAACGGGCTTCTAGAAACAATCGACTATGTTATACATACACATTTCCCCCGCTTTTTTCTTCCCTTTTTTTTTCTTCTTAATATCATGAGACACATTTATAGAAGCCTCCAAACATGTTTTCTCTCTCTGATGCAGCATCAGCTAGAACAAAGCACTGACAACAGCAACAAGAGCCTCAAGAGCAATTCTTAGAAAGATCTCGTGTTACTTTTTTGAAAGAGAAGGAAATGAACCTTTGTTTCATATCTAATTCATGCTTTAAAGGTAGAAAGATTTCATCTCGCGTTTGTGATTTTTTTTTGACTGAATTCCCATGATAAGGAAGGTCAGGAAGTGAAGCCAGTAAGGTAATATTAACAAAAGTACTTCAGACAAATAAACCACATGATTGCAAGCATTAGACACTTCCTGGTGACTCACAGTCTGGATAGATACATCACTCGGCATCAAGAGTTTAGAATTTTTTATGTATTTGTGTACTGAACAAGCAAATGACTTCTTTCTACAGCAAAAAACTATTCTCCAGTGGTTTGGGAGAGTATTACATTCTTTCAGAGAAACCGCTTGTAATATTGGAGCGGATACAATTTGAATTGGGGGGAATATATAAAAGTGGGGGTTTTTATCATCTGTCTTGCAAACTTTGCACTGAAGAAGACTGGAGAGAAGGCTACCTCAGAAAGAAGGTGACCACATCAAAAGCCACTCCCATATTAAAGCAGAGGTTCAGTAATGGATTTTTTTCTTCCTCCTCTACAAAAACAAAGTTTTGATGCACAGGCAGTGACATTGTCAAACCTGAGTGATTAGAGTATGTGTAATCAAATTGATACCTGAGCTCCTGTGTGCAGTTCCATCAGGGAGTGATGTGGAAGAAAATAAGTACTTACACCCTAATAAAAATTAAGAAAATGGAGCAAAAGCACTGTTTGGTTTGAGCAGACAGCATAAACTGCTTTCCTGATTAAAAAAACCAAACAGAACGTGCAAGTCTATGCTCTGGGCCAACCCCTGTTGGTGTCTCAGCCTGATGGGAAAGTCAAGTGAAACCCAGTGCTGTCTCTTCCCAACCTTCAGACCAGTCTAACAAATTTGGGAAAGTCCCCTCAGATAAGACAGCTGCAGTCAGCTCCCTGAATATTTGTGAAGCAACACAGCAAGGCTGGTGTGTTGATCTGAGATGGAGAAATCCTCTCAACCCCAGGGAAAGAAATGGAGCACTCCTGGCTGAGCAAGTAACAGGCTCCTTCAGGTCCGTGCTATTAGGGCCACGGTCATGCTCCAAGGGCTGGAGCACCTCTCCTATGAGGACAGGCTGAGAGAGCTGGGTTGTTCAGCCTGGAGAAGAGAAAGCTCCAGGGAGACCTTAGAGCCCCCCTTCCAGTCCTTCAAGGGGCTCCAGGAGAGATGGGGAGGGACTCTTGATCAGGGACTGGAGCCATAGGATGAGGGGGAACAGTTTTAAACTGAAAGTGGGGAGATTGAGATTAGAACTTAGGAAGAAATTTTTTACTATGAGGGTGGTGAGACACTGGAAGAGGTTGCCCAGAGAAGCTGTGGCTGCCCCATCCCTGGAGGGGTTCAAGGCCAGGCTGGATGGGGCTTGGAGCAACCTGGTCTGGTGGGAGGTGTCCCTGCCCAGGGCAGGGGGTTGGAACTCAATGTTCTTTAAGGTCCCTTCCAACCCAAACCATTCTGTGATTCTAGTTCCCCACCAACTGATCACTTCCCCAGTCGTGAAAGGTTTGCTTCCTTTGTTTTCTCATATTGACCACCCAAGTAAAGCAACAAGGCTAAGTCTGCAGCTTTTGGCTGACTCTCATTGCAGAAGGGCAACTTTCAGAATGGAGTTTCATGTGGATAACTATTTCACATCTTGTATCAACTATCACTAATCCAGATCAAGCCAATAGCTAGCTGCATTTAATGAGAACAAAACCAGTAAGGCCCAAGAGTGTGTTGTTGTGAGATGAGCCATTTACACTCTGCTGGTCTCCCGAGACAGAGGTCCCTACTTTTATTTCTGCTTACTCTTCCATCATCAGTGCCCTCACACACTTTCTTGATTTAGGTCAGACTAATCCTGACTAATTGAGCCGCTCCATCCTTCCGTACTAGTGACCTGGATTAGAAGCAAGAGGGACAGCTTCTTCCACGGTAAACAGTCAGACCTGCAGAGTGTTCCAGATCAGCCTTAGCTCAGGAAACACCCTCTATATTCCCAACAAGGGGAAAGCTACAATTAGTAATTCCCTTCTTGCCATACACCAAAGCATGAACATTTTCACAGCTGTCATGGACTCCAGATGAATGTACAACCTGGAGAAGGGGGGAGAGGAAAACCTGATCTGAACTCCTTTGGAGGTACTGGGTAGACCTTTTGTATGGCAGATTCCCTCAAAAGGCTACATCTTACAGTCACATCAATAAAAACAGATTATATTGAGATTTTCCAGATTTTTAGTGTCCTGGTGAACTGGCCAACTCCTGTTTTAAAAGGTGACTTTGTTTTAGAAAATGGTGATCTTGAGGTTTAATTAACTTTTTTAAACTCCAAGGTACACCCAGTGCCCTTTGTGAAGGCTATGTAAAAGCAGCAGGTACATGCTGGATTATTTAATCTGCAAAACTCCACATATTTATGGCAAAGGAGGAACAGAAAGGGGTCAATATCATACTTTTCATATACCTGGTATAAAGGAACAAGAAAGTATCTGGACATTTTATTCAGACAAAACAATGCCAGATAGCTAGGGGTTTTTTGTTGTTGTTTTTTTGTTTAAAAAACAGGTTTATTTTTTCAACTAATTACTTTTGACATATTTTGGCACCACTTTGACATGATAAGCAGCTTTGAGGCTCCTCAGCGAACCCAAATTACAATATTCAAATCTGTGAGAAGCAGAAAGATCTGTAGACATTTTCTACATTTGAGAATTTCAATGCCTGCTGACACCTGGTCTATTCCTCTGAACGTCAAGAGCAAAACATTCATTCTGGTAACAGCAAGGAAGCAGAAAACCTCTGTAATTTCCTTTGAAAAAATCCCCCTTTGGTGCCTTGCCAGTATCCTAGAAAAAAAACTTTGATTTAACCCAAGAAAGCAGTGTGTGCTTCTCCACGTGCCACATTTTGTGCATATTAGCAGAAAACATGAAAGTTAATTTATTATTATAAATGATAATAAAATGTTCTGATGGACACTGAATCATAGAATTGTCTGTGTTGGAAGGAACCTTTAATATCATCTAGTCCAACCACCAACCTAACTCTGATAAAAAAATATCACTAAACCGTGTCACTAAGCACTGTGTCAACCTGTCTTTTGCATATCTCCAGGGATGGTGCCTCAACCACTGCCCTGGGCAGCCCATTCCAATCCTTAATAACCCTTTCTGTGTTAAAATTGTTCCTAATATCCAATCTGAACCTCCCCTGGCGCAACTTGAGGACGTTTCTTTTTGTCCTATCGCCTGTGACTTGGGAGACATTTGATGAAAGTTCTCCTCCTGTCTCCTGACACTACCAGAACTCAGACTTGAATGAGTATTACTCAGACTTTCATGGGATTACCAACTCTGTGTGAAGTTGGCAGCTGTGATTTACTGTTCAGCAGCAGAAGGAAACGTAGGTCCTTACCTGTTCAGCGCAAACGCGTAATGAAACCTCACGTGGTGGTGAGAAGCCAAGTCAAAAGTAGGCAGTTTTTCTAAAGTTTTCACCAGTTTCACGATGGAATCGTAATCCTTCCAAAAGAAGGGAATAACGAAGTTTTAGGTGCCTGTACTGAGGTATGCCTATATAAACTCCTCTTTGAACTATGGACCTTTTTGTACTAATGTACTAATTTTGTACTAAGAAGTATTTTCAGTTCCCTGAAAGTTTTATGGATTTCAGTTTCTTCAGTCTGAAACTGTACGTAGCCTGGCATTCAGAAATGTGAATATGCACTGCATTTAGCAGGAAAAAACACTGCTTCAACATGGACCAGTGGAAATATTAGTACATCTATTTCATGATTAAAGTTAGCTTCAGAAGCTGAACATGTATCAGAGCTCATATTGTACAGACATTATAATGCTAAATGCATCTGAATCAAGGCATCCCAAAACTCTGAAGTAGGCATGAGACACAAAAACAAAATAAAAACATCTTTCAGTACTGCAGTTTTTAAAAAAGTAGCTTACTCAGTGACATACTTAAAAAAAAATAAGCCCCAAAGAAACAAAACCAGAATCAAACCACTTCATAATGTTTACGGAGCAACAGCTGAAATTATATTATATAAAATATCTATTACAAAAAAGTTATATAAAGTTACTTAACAAAGTAAGCAATTATTAGCACCATTCCAGAAGCTGAAATTTATATGAACACGTTATGTTTCCATGAGAAATGTCACAAGGATGGTGACCAAGAACACTTATACATATCAAGAGCAGAATGCTACCATAGCCTTTACGGGCTGTTCATCATATTGTAATGCTGAGAAGGAGAATGGTTATTAATATCTTGTGTGCTTTTTAGGTGCTGCTATAAAGTGACCCCACTTTTGTGCTAAGGAAACGCATGTTATAAACAGTGTAATTACAAATATAAAGTAAAAAGCATCAGTAAAAGATTTTTACTTGTGTGCATCATTCACAAAGTTTGTTCGCAAATCTGTGCAAAACACGCTAACAATTTCACTGAGAATGGGATTTCATTTACTATGTTTTAGATAAAAAATTTAGTTTTAGGTGACCTTAGAGCACGGGATCCCTACCTGGATGTCTCTGTAGGACAGCAGCAAGTTTATGACGATGTCAGCAGACAAGACCTCCACGTTATCCACCCGCTGCCGAATCCTTGCCAGCTCCGCCGCCAGCTCTTTGCCCGTGTAGAGGGTACGGGCCTTCCTGATGTCGTTGAGGATGGATTCCCGGAAATACTGGCTGGAGAGGAAGAGCTTCACATCAGCAATTTGGGGACGGGTCCCTCACTTTTGTTTTTCTGGCCCTGAAGCTCTCCCACAACGTGCGTATTTATTGATAAAGCAGCATCAACGGAGAGATTTGGTCAAGCTAAATTATTCCTTCGTCAATTTGTCTCCACAGAAGGCAAAACTTGAAGGAAGAGTCTGACATCCATATTGCCAGTGGGAATATATGAATTTTACACCAGGGTGCAAAAAGACAACTCACCTTGAGCTGGCCTGTGCCACCTTCAAGAGCTGAATAAATCGATCCACCAGAGGTAAGCAGATGGGCCCGAGGAGGGACTCAAAGCTGGGCTGCATCAGTTCTGTGAGCCCCTTCATGAAACTGCTGTCGCAGCAGTACACCTTGTTATGCGGAGTTATCATATAGGGAACGAATATGTAGTTACCAGTGCACATCTGCAGGGACACAAGAAGCAATATTTTTGGGCAGTTAGGGTTTGACAAGCCTAAGCATAAAGCGACTGCATACACTATCTGCAGAATTTCACCTCTTAAAGGCCAAGGGAGATCTGCTGCTTGCTTCAGCAACACCATGAGTTTACCTATGAAGGTAAATTCAGGTAAATTCAGCCTATATAAATTCAGTTTTCATCAATATACACCTGAAATACAATATACATCTGAAATATACACCTGTGTTCTTTCAGATTTCTGAATTGCTTTTTGCAAGATGAGTCTTTTTTAGAAGCATCTCGACCTTAAAATAGTCATTGGTCCAACAGGGAAACCATTCTGAGGGTACACCCCAAGTCACCCCGAAGAGGCAGGGGGACTCAAGTGAAGGTGACGTACACTCTTTTCAAGGTGACTGATGCTCAGAAGAGAGCAAACGCTCTGCAATTTAGTACAGTTAGGCTCACAGACGTTGAAAATAGCAACCTGCCTCACAACAGGAAAACTGTAGGGAAAACTAATCCTCGGATGAACTGCAAAATGACTCAAATAGCTCAGCAAAACAAAGGCAAATTAAATTTCCTGCCGCGTAGCAAACCTACCTGGCCAGCGGGACTCACAACCACATATATCTCAGAATAGTAATTTATGGTATGTCTGAGCATTGCCAAACTGCATTGATTTCTATATTTCAACGTATGACAGATACTTTGCAAAAAAATATCATTTATCTTCCCATAAAGAGGGAAGCAAAATGTCTGGTTCCTGCGCTATATGTGTGAGTACAGATTTATGCACCTAGAAAGCTTGCAGAATATTTGTGGTTCCAAAGGGTGTTAATTATGAAACAGCACACCATCAAAATCAGGAGGAGTTTTGTCATTTGGTTGTCAAAGCTCAGAGTCCACTACTGAAGTGGCCAGCAGCCCAGCAAGAAAAGCCCTAAGGAAGCAACTCTTGAGACCCATCATTTTGGTACACCTAAATTACTTCCAAGGTTAATTACTTTCTGGTCAGCTGCTTCTGCTCTCCCAGAAGTCACTACAACAATGAGGACATCACTTCAGAGACTCTCCTGGCAGGCTGAGCTCCATGCACTGAGAAAGCGGTGACTAATTAGTCTTTAAGCCACGTGCTTAAAACATGCATTTTAACATGCATTATTAGATTTTAAAAACATGGAAGGATTGAGGTACTCTAGTCTGTACAAATGTGTGTGTACAGAATCACAGAATCTTCTAGGTTGGAAGGGACCTTAAAGATCATCTTGTCCAACCGTCAACCTAACTGACAAAAATAGACACCCGCACAACAAACAAAAAGCATCACCATCACTAAACCATACCTCCCAGCACTACATCAACCCGTCTTTTGAACACCTCCAGGGATGGTGCCTCAACCACCTCCCTGGGCAGCCCATTCCAATGGCTGATAAACCTTTCAGTGAAAAAATTTTTCCTCATATCCAGCCTGAACCTCCCCTGGTGTAACTTGAGGCCATTTCCTCTCGTCCTGTCACCTGTGACTTGAGAAAAGAGACCGACCCCCATCTCTCTACACCCTCCTTTCAGGGAGTTGTAGAGAGCAAGAAGGTCTCCCTTCAGCCTCCTTTTCTCCAGGCTGAATAACCCCAGTTCCCTCAGCCTCTCCTCACCAGACTTGTGCTCCAGAACCCTCACCATCTTTGTTGCCCTTCTCTGGACCCGCTCCAGCACCTCAATGTCTTTTTTATGGTAGGGGGCCCAAAACTGGACACAGCACTCGAGGTGGGGCCTCACCAGTGCCGAGTACAGGGGCCCTACTCGCCACGCTGTTCCTGATACAGGCCAGGATGCTGTTGGCTTTCTTGGCCACCTGGGCACACTGCTGGCTCATGTTCAGCCGACAGTCGACCAACACCCCCAGGTCCTTTTCTGCCAGGCAGCTCCAGCCCCTCTGCCCCCAGCCTGTAGCCCTGCAGGGGGTTGTTGTGACCCAAGTGCAGGACCCGGTACTTGGCCTTGTTGAGCAGATATGTCAGTAAACATATATTTGTGTACAGATCAATTTTCAGTCGTTCAGAGGAACCCCATGTTTCTCAGGGAATTGTCTCAAGGCAGAATCTCATCTCGATCCTCGGTGGCAAGTAGTGTGGGAACACAGTGGCCTTTCCCTCAGCCAGGGCATTGATTTGATTGTTAACTCCAGTGAGACAGGTTTTGTGGGGAGCTCTCTCTCTGAAACCTCTCAAATTTGGCTGAAATTCATCAGACAAACAGGCAGAAACAGAAAGAGGGTGGAGGATGAAAAAAAAAAAAAAAAAGTACAAGCTTTTAAGTTTCATTTCCTTAGGAAACAGGCTTTTAAAAAAAAATAGAGAAAAAAACCCCACATGCAGTGAAGTTAAGAAATATTTACCTCAATTTCACTTTCCTAGCTAAAGAGTACATTAGATATTTAAAAGCTGAACCTGACAAAGGCAGGCATGCAGAAGCTCTGGTGACAAAAGAAAAGAAAAAAAAAAAAAAGAACCAGAAGTTATATATTATTTACTAAAGGTGGTGGTGGAGGAAAGATAAGATAACAGTGACGGCAAGACCGCTCTTGTATAATAAAGTCTATGGTCTCCCACTATGGAGAAACATAGAATTTGTGATGACGATAAAGCAACTACAAAGAGCCTGACTCTGACTGCATTTGGGCAGCAAATGGGATGGGCGCCCAAAAGGACGATCTCTGTTCGAATGGGTCCAGAGAAAGCCACAAAGATGCTCAGAGGGTGGAGCACCTCTGCTGTGAGGACAGGCTGAGAGAGTTGGGGTTGTTCAGGTGGAGAAGAGAAGGCTCTGGAAAGACCTTAGAGCCCCTTCCAGTCCCTAAAGGGGCTACAGGAGAGATGGCGAAGAACTCTTGATCAGTAAGTGAAGTCATAGGACAAGAGGGAATGATTTTAAACTGAAAGAGGGGAGATTTAGATGAGATATTAGGAAGCGATTGTTTCCTTTGAGGATGGTGAGACACTGGAAGAGGTTGCCCAGAGAAGCTGTGGCTGCCCCATCCCTGGAGGGGTTCAAGGCCAGGCTGGATGGGGCTTGGAGCAACCTGGTCTGGTGGGAGGTGTCCCTGCCCAGGGCAGGGGGTTGGAACTGGATGATCTTTAAGGTCCCTTCCAACCCAAACCATTCTATAGTTTTATGACCAGGCTGTGGGGGCAGCAGCTGAGGACCTGCCCCAGCGTCAGACAGCTCTAAAACCTCTTCCCCAACGTGGAGTACAGGACTTGCTGCTTTACTCATTCCCAGGCCACACAACCTCTCTCTCAGCTCTTTTACTTCCTTTCTCACCTTTCTTTGTCAAAATATAAGCTACGGTAACTAAAGGCAGAAAGGATCAGGTGGTCTTTCTGACACATGCTTCCTATCTGCTCACACCTTGCTTTACATTTTGACTTAGTGCACATTATTCCACTTGGAAGTTTAAATATATTCCACTCATCCTATTAAAATCTGCCTTGTAACGCTCCATCCCAGCTCTGCTCTCACACACTGTGATACTCTTTCCTGACCTTAACTAACCTCACTCTGTATTGTTTGCTGAGCACGCAATACAAAATTGTTATTTTCCTTTGGTCCATTCCTCTGACAGTGAAAGTAATAGAATCAAGCCATTTGTTGCCTTGTAATGCTCCATCCCAGCTCTGATCTCACACACTCTGATACTCTTCCCTGACCTTAACTAACCTCACTCTGTATTCCAAGTTTGCTGAGCACGCAATACAAAACTGTTATTTTCCTTTGGTCCATTCCTCCGACAGTGAAAGTAATAGAATCAAGCCATTTGAGAAAAATGAGCAGTTTTTGAAGGAGTAACACCTTAAATCCAATTGCAACATTCTCAGTTATGTCAACAGCCTTTAAAAAAATGAATAGCATAAAGGGGTGTCAGAAGTGGGTGGAAGAGACTTCCCCACTCAACAAGAGGTACTAGAAGTTTCATTTCCCAATCCTCTTTCTTTAAAAATCCTGACTTTAAAAAAACGAATAGCATAAAGGGGTCTCAGAAGTGGGTGGAATAGATGTCCCCACTCAACAAGAGGTACTAGAAGTTTCATTTCCCAATCCTCTTTCTTTAAAAATCCTGTGTTATTTGAAGTTCAAAACCTTAAATTACAGTAATTAAAGTTACCAAGTGATTGCAGGTCACCGGAGTTGTAAGGTAAGAGGCATTTCTGAAAACACCAGGGGCTGGGACAGGCCATGAGCGTGCACAGAGATAGTTACTATGGTTCAGCCCGATGCACAAGAGCCCAGGAACATTAGATAAGGGAAACTTGGCCCCAGCTCTCAGATCAGCTGAACTAGTTCTATCTCTGAGATACGAACGTACCTATCTTTGAAGGCTTTGGGCCAGCACACTCAGTACCTGGCAACATCAGGCCACCTTCTGAAAGACTATCTGTGCCATGGACCATTTCATCAGATCAGCCAGACCCTAATCAGAAGGCAGAAGCCCTGGCTGGAGCCATAAACGCTTACCTCAAAGTGACAACATCTGTAATTCATTTTTGTAAATGCTTTAATTGGTTTGCATTTTTCTAACATCTCTTCCTCACTCACTCTGCAAAATTAACTAATTCCAGAGTGTGTGTAATTGCAGTTTAAATACAGCCCTGTGGTTGTCTTAATAGTCCTACCATCACTGAACTTAAGCTTGTGCTGCTCCCAACTAGACCTACTGGTCTCTGCAGTGTTAAGCACTTCCTTCTTGTCTGATATCCTTTCTCAGCTTCTGAAAAGAAATTAATATAGCACCTAGTTGTATTCAAGAGATAAGAAATATACAGTTATATTTTCCAATTATATTTTAAGTTATAGTTCATATTTTAATAAGCATTTAGTTATATTTTAATTATCATTGTAAGACCATAAATCAGTCCTTCTTTCAATATCCCCCTCTAATACAGAGCTGTTACTTGTAAAAGGGGAAGCCTTTGGGAAACTCAGTTTGGAGACCATGTCTTCTTA